CCACCCACATGGGAGTGAGGAGCTCTGAAGGACATGCAGTCTCAGACAACTGCTAAGATGGGGAAGGGTTCTCAGTTGGCCAGGAGTGGGGAAGTGGGAGTGATAGTGAAAAAACCAGGAAAAATAAAGAGACTAGAACTGGGGCAGTGTTAACACGGCAGTCATTTATCATTGTTGATATCAAATAACCAAGTTCCTACTTTTGGGTGTTCTCAGAGGCTGATATCAGAAGGACATAAGAATATTCAGTGCCTTAAATCAATCTGTACGGTGCTTTGTTTGGTTTAATTAACCTGTAATGATGCACTAAGTAATGTAGAATATAGCTTTAGAGAATAATCACATTTCTAAGGTGTGTTCCCTTACCTGGAACTTTCTGTCAGAGAAGACTTGAGGCCTGAAGAAGCTGAACATGTTTTGAGAGAGAGTATTTCTAACAGAAAATTCTGGATTATGGTACAATCCCACAAAATACGTAAGAAAATACCAGGATACCCACAAGGGCACCAACATCTATTTGAGGCAGTTCCACATGTTTGTGTAATCGGATGGAGTAAAATAGCAGTCATACATAATTTTAGACTGGGTTTTCCTGTATTATGACATAAACCAGTGAAGAATTTTCTCTTCTTCATATATACAGCTGTCTATTATATGAGCAGGGTTCTCCTCATGCCCACATCACATTTAAACAGTTGGCTAATCCCCTTCAGTTTAGTGAAATTGCTCATGCTTTACCCTGCTGGAAAGGAGAGAAAAGTCAGGCTTTTTCTGTTAGTTGCACCTTAAATGATATATGTTGTGTCTGTAACTTGTTATGTATTAGAAAAATTCTGCATGTGCCAGCAGTGTTTATTATTTGAGGCCGTAATTATATCCAGAAGTAGATTTTAAAGCTGATAAATGTCTCCTTATCCATAAATGAGTTTTAGGTAGAGATTTAATTATACAGTATAGTAAGCTTACTTCCCTCAACCACTCTTTTACAGTGGGCCTTTTAAATATCTGTGGCCCAGCTTCAGCTGGGTGGACCACAAAATCCTCCCAAGAACAATATTGCCTCTAAGACAAAGTCTTGATAGCAAAAAGTCCTTCCTCCCCGTGTCTGCAGGAGTGCTTCTTCATCCTTCTTCGTGGTCTGGGAAAAGGGACTCTGATCACTTCTTCTCTCAACTAAAGGGATTCCAGCTGCACGCAGGTGAAGAGCCCCTCTCTGTTTTCCTACTTCATAATGAGATCAGACAACTTTTTGTGCTGCTGTTCCCCCTGCTTTCCTTGGTCCTGTTGTGGGAAAATGAAGCCTTGCCTCATCCTCCACTATATGGCTCCTGAGCCAGGGCCCTTGGAAAAAAGTTCTTTTCTTTCCCAGATTCAGTCTTCCCATTTTCTATCTGTCCCTGCTCTTCACAGAATCCCCATTCACCTATGATTACTTTGAGCAAGTAACTTGGATCCCATCACCTCCCCAACGCCTCTTTTCTTGAAGGGATGGTGGATCCCGCTATGTATACAAACATCTTTAAACCCAGAGGGAGAAATTTTAACTTCAAGCTCCTTAAGAGCTGGGGCACTTCCAGATATTTATTACAGCTTTTATTAATGTTAGAAGGAGACTAACTGGAGAAACCTCTGCTCTTCTTTTAGTCGGTGCCCAGTTTTAGAAGTCTTATTTACTTGAGTCAGATATTCCTAGTGACACCATTGGGGCTTCAGGCCAGAGTGAAGGCTGCAGGACAACATCCTAGGCCTTCCAAATTCTTGAGTTTGTTATCAGCAATTAAATTGATTATGAAAATTGTTTAAAAGATATGCATAAACATCCAGTGGTAGTATTGTCTCAGTAAGTCTTTACAAAAAGGGGAGCCAGTTTTACAACTGGTGAAAACCAGCATCACTCTGTGGACTTCAATTCACAGCAGATGTTTTGCACAAGCTGAGAATTTGGCCTGCAGTCTTGTTCCCTTGATAACAAGCTTCCACTTTGCTACAATTCTTGACATTAGCTGAGAAAAGGCTATAAAGAAAAGGAAAAACTAGAATCCTTCCTGGTTTAAAAAAACGCAAAACTCAACAACAACAGCAAAAACCTCCTTTTTTTTGCCACTCCTTGTTTCTGCACTTCACATCCCTGCTGATCAGATGCTCTCTGGCGTTTTGGGGGAGGAGAAACAGCTGGAGCATGTGCTGAAAAATAACAGTGAGCAGCAACAGCAGTGCAGAGAACAGCAGTAGTAACCGAAACAGCCTGACAGCATGACATTTTCTTGTCAGGAAAATAACCCTCTGAATGTTTAGCAGCACAGCTGACAAGCTGGAACATTTCCTGACCAGACACAATTTTTATGGAGAGTGAAGAATTAGGCACTGAAGGACACTCGGCTTCTCTCGCTCCCTGGGAGACTCATGGAAAATTCAGTTTTATTATTATTATTTAACTGGCAAGTTTTGGTGATTCATTGTTTCTGTAAAGATCAGAATTCACTGTGGATTTATTTTGGCCCTTGTCCTTGTTCTACTGTCTAGTTAGTGCATTAGGACATTGTTTTTGGATGAGTTATTCGGGAAGTGGTTCCATCAGTGATAGTATTAGTTGCATTATACCTGCAGAGACCAGACTTATGGCCTTGAGCCTGGGTTGTAAACCCAGAGTGAAGGAAGACTCATTTGATTTGGGGATACATTGATATAATCTGATTTAGTGCTTCTCCCAGGCACACCTGCTTAGTGAAGTGCTATGGAGTCTCAACTGCATAGTAAAGCTGCCCTCTACTGAGATAAATGCCCCTACTGGCATAGGTAGCCACAGGGATGGAGGAAATATGCAGATTCAAAGTCCTGTGTCCCAAGGAAGGAATCCAATGCCAGATTATGATATGCTGAGGTCCTAAACTATATCCAGTTTAAGAGGCCCCATACGATAAAAATAATCTACAAAATCCATGAAAATGGATTTTCATGACATTTTAAGATGAATTATTGTTATTTCTGCACCAATTTATGAACTCAATATGAATAATAAATGTGGATCCATATATGTGTATATTTTTGTCATATTAGAATTGAAAAAGTTCAGGTTTTTTTCTTATATTAGAGACCCCTCATATTGTGAGGTCCTAAACTATAGCTGAAGCCTAAATCTGACAGTGGAAGAACCTATTATATTTCTGAAAAACGGCCTCTTCCAATTGTTATGACAAAGGCAAAATACTTTTAGCTTTCAGTAGAAGCAAGATAAAGGTCACAGTGCTGCCTGCCTGAGGGATTTCCTCAGCTCAGTCCAGAGAGAGATATTTGGCTGATCTTGTGTGATGCTGAGCACAATATGCTCCTGTCATCATCACTGGAAGTGTAAAGTGCCTATTACCTCTCAGTATAAGTCATGGGATTTGTACAGGCTTGGGGGGAGTTGGATAAAATAGCAACAGCTGGGCCTTGCTGCAAAGAAGCTGTACAGCAGTGCAACTCATGTCTCTGTCATCTCCTAAGCAGGAGAGAGACTCAAATTATAATATTTGGAGTGGGACTTGTATCCAGGGGTTTGGTTCAGATCATTATAATGAGTAAGTCTATTTTTAGAATTTAATTTTAAGTCCAGGCTTTAAAAGATTTGGGACCAGGTTGGGGAGTCCAGTCCAATTTTATTAGGGACATGTTTGTGAAATGGAAATGTCTCATTGTCATAAACTGCTGGCTCATTGCATTTCAGGGCTATTACAGGAGGGCACCAGATTATGCCTTGATTAGGGAATGGAAGAAGAGAGGCTGTTTTGCTGTCCCCATGGTTCATTCCACATTCCTCATTGACCTCAGGAAAGAGGCCTCGAAGAAGCTGATGTTTTACCCACCACATCAGGATTACACCTGGAACTTCGATGACATCATTGTTTTTGCCTTCTCCAGCCGCCAAGCAGGTATGTTTGTGAACTCACAATGGCGAAAGACTAAACTCAAAAGCCTGCCATAGTTAAGAGGTTACTTTTTAAAAACAGTGGGTTGAATTATGCCCTGACTTGCACCTTCTCTGCCAGTTGACTGTAGTAGCATTAATCAATACTGTACAGTTTCTACTCTTGTTTTGTTTTGTTTTTTTGATGGGGGGAGGGGTTTTTTTAATAGTAAGACTTCTTTCTACATTCTTGTGTTCTTACTGAACTATGCCTGAAACTGCCCAGTTTTCAGGCTGCTTCTGACTGTCTTCCAGTGTTCTGTTCTGGTAACAACTGTTTCCCTTCCTTTCCCACACCCTTGCCCCTTCAAACTGTGAATGCATTTAGTAATGGTGCTTGATGGCTCTGGAGACCGTAGTCTACAGAACACACACTCCAGCTGTAAACAGACTGTTGCGTTTTCCCTGGAGAAAACCTTTTGTCCTGGGATCCTCAAAATCCACTGTGAACTCTTGAAGATGAAATGTTCTAACACTCCCCCTCCACATCACTGTGTGCACTGTAAACTAATTGCAGGTCATTCAAGTTATTTGCGGGTGATTCCAGGGACAAACCTGTCAGGCTGTGTGCTCTTGTTGGCAGAGGAACAGTAATGCAGTTTGGCAGGGTTGTATACATAGATGGCCATGTCCAGAGGTGGGTTCAGGATTTTGTGAAGGGACATATCGGAGAAGTGACCATGGCCACAGGGCTGGCTGCACCCCAACTCCCAGCTGCAGCTCCCTGCAGTGGGTTTGATAAGCTATGCCATGGGAACAGCAATGAGGAGTTGAAGTCCCCAGAAAAGTAAGAATCCCACCCACCTGCTCTTGGCATCAGCTCCCTTCCCTCCATTCTCAGCAGAGCATCTCCTCCCCTGCCCTCCCCTTCCATTTTTCCCCTCCACTGCCACCATCTCCACTGTCCTCTGCTGCACCAGGAGCCAGGGAGGCTAGAGAGTTGCTCCTGCCTGGCTCCAGCTAGGTACAGTAGCAACAGCAGTGGCAGCAGGTAGGTTCCTCCTTCCTGCCTGTTCCTGCCCGGGTGGTGGTTTGGGAGGCATGCGGAAGAAGGGCTCCAGAGATGCGGCAGCCAGGCTCAGCAGGGGACAGCAGCAGTGGTGGCAGCAGGTTCCCTGGCCCCCTGTGCTTGCTCCCAGGCTCACTGAGAACACCTGGGAAGATGGTAAGAGAGGAGGAACCTACCTCTGCTGATGATGATTCCAGGTGGAGTAGGCAGGTTCAACTCTGGAGCCTCCCCTGTTGCCTACCCCACTCCTGGATTAGCCAGGACAATGGGGACCATGGCTAATGAGAGAGGGAGGGAACAGGAGGGAGGGGATAGTGCTGCTGAGGAAGAGGGGAAGGGGTAGGGAGATGGGGGATATGGGATTTTTACCTTTCTGTGGACTTAAAAAAAAATAAATTCCCAGCTGCTGCTCCTAGGGCCACGTCCAAAAGAGGGGGGCATCTGCACCATTGTACCCCTTCTGGATCTGGCCCTGGTTGTGTCACTCTTGTTTTGATCTGGGTCAAAACTTGGGACCATCAGGATCACCTCAAATGAGGAGTCTGTTTACAACCTTCATGGGCAGTCACAGGCCATGCCTCCATTAGCTGCATTGCAAGCTCACAAGGAGTTTCAGCTCTCTTGTCTCCCCTTGATGCTCCTCTGTCACCTTCTCTTCTTCTTGGTTTTTTTCACCTAAATTTCTTCCCGTTGTACTGAGTCTTTACCCCTCCAATTTCAAATCCAGTCAGGCAACAGGAAACATTCCACGTTGCCTCTTAGAGATAACCAGTAACTGATAGTGGGCAATCTTGCTTATGATCCATTCAAAGGATTCAACAAACAGGTTCAAATAATAAGTTCAAGGTGCTTATAAGGTATCTGGGGGGATCATTCATAAGTAAAATAAAAGGCAGACTTATTTCAAATAAACCATTTGTTCATCTGCTTCTGAGGCTACAAACAGATGTTACATTTGTTCCAGGACAAATTGCTATCATTCAGGCATCCAGTTCTGTTGTTCTGTGATAGACCCCAAAAAGGTTAGCAGGATAAGATCTGCTAACAGTTTGTTCTAGGACTTCACAAAGCATGCGTGAATGGATGTACCCTTAGTGGATCAATGGCAGAAAAGCAGCAGTGAATTTAGGTAACCCTCCTCACTGGCTGGACCCTCTGCAAGGATGTAAGCACACAGTTGTACCTGCCAGTTCACTCCTCCTCTCCCACCTCTGCCGTCTCCTCCCCCTCCTCAATCCCTGTCGAAGGATTCCAGCACTGTAATAAATAAATTAGTTTTTGAAATGAGGTGCCACTTAATTCACAAACATTACAGATCAGTGCTTGGGGCCTAAAATTGAGAACCACTGGTTTTGATGTTAAAGAAACCCTGATCACTCTTATAATAGTGAAAGTTAAGTACAGTCTGGAGTTTCTCATTAAGTTCTCCCCAGCTTACTCAAGTAAGACAGTATTTTTTTCAATATCCCTGTTCCTTTCCCTTTCTCACTGTAGGGATTTCTTTTGCATGAAGTACCTATTTTATATGCTTTAAAATGGTATTATAGATAGCATTGACTTTCCTTTTTTGGAGAAAAATGAAAATGAAATATCTTGATCTGGACATGTTACTGAAGGCCAGTTCTGTTTTCTTTAAGATCAAAAAACACGTGTGTATGCATGTACATGCATGTGCCCATATGCACGCGCGCGCGCGCACACACAAAAAGCGAAGGTAGAATGTGCCGTTTTTGTCATTGGTGCTCCCTTACTTGCAGTCTCATTTCTAAAAAGAGATGGGTGGACTGAGCAGAATCTTATTAGCTGTTCAGGGTCCTTGCATACCTGAATCATCACCAGCTGTTTAAAGCATTGTTTAGCTGCCTTCTGGTCAGAAGCCCAAGGCAGTAGGCAGAAGATTGTAATCCTAAACCTAAATGAGGGATAGACTGGACCATGAGGGTCAGTGTTATTTTAGTTAATTGTCAGATAGAAAGGAAAGTAAAGGTAAATGACATGTGAGGGAAGGCTTGGCAACATTCCAGGTTGGGGTCAGGATTTCAGGAAGTCGTTGGCCTGGTTATGTCCCAGTGACTTTCCAGATTAGGACAGTGGAAGTCCAGCAATTTTGTTGTGGAACTGAGGGTCCTGGGAGATGAAAGTGGCAACCTTGATGGTAGAACTGGCTCTGGCCAAGTTTATATACACCCAGTGCATGAGTGCAGCCACTGCACTTTGTGTCCTCCATGTCATAATGTCCAACAGGGGTTGGCACCTGTATCCTATCACCATGAATTAGAGTACATTTTCATAACTAAAGCTGTAAATGTTGGCTTCCATTTCTTGAATTCTTCAGCTCGTTCTTATGCTGACCTACCCATGACTTTACCAGGGGCCTTGAGGACCCTTTATTCAAGCTTTACTTAAACAATCCAGTCTGTTTGCCTACAACATTTTGCTGATTTTTATGAACAGCTGCATGTCATGGTCTGAGTTGGACTTTTGTCCCTTGGACCCTCTATATGTCAATCTGTGCATCATTTTAAAGATGGGGGAAAATGTTTAAAACCCAGACTTAAGCTCCTCCTTTAAGTAAATCTAGTTACATCACTGGAGTCACCAAAAGAATAGCTTATGTCCAGTCCAAATATAACACCTATCATCTCAGATCAGACCATTGGGCTGTTGAATCCATCATCCTACCTCTTGGAGCAACTGCTGCATATACTAGCATACTAGCCAGGAAATCTCACTCTGTTCAATACACCTTAGGCTTTATCCAGAACCCATGAAACATTCAATGTGTGGAAGTTCTCACATGCTTAAAGAAAATCACAAGTGCAGTGAAGTTGTATAAACTGACATGAGCCAACAGCAAAAACTGTCTTACTAAGGTGAAGTTTCTTACTTGCTATTTTAGTGTTGATGCAAGAGCACACAATTGATAATAGAACAACACAGAATTATGTCTAGCCTCTTGCACAGTGGGATTCTACCATCTGACTGCACCTGCTGGATGGTTATAATGCAGACTGACATTCCCCCATAAAGCATTGCCGTTTTAAGATGCATACGAATTTTAGCTAATGCAGTGGTGGTTTGAAACAACTGAAAGCTATACAGATTCAGCAATAGAAGGTATGGCTGGTGATGAGTGAGCCAGATAAGAGTAGCTAAAGAGATTAGCGTCAACTCTGTTGATACATTTGAATAGTATATAGCGCTCTTCCTTTTAGTTCAGTGACATCTAAGAGCTAAATTTGGTTTGACGGAACATAATCATTATTTGTGCGAGGGAGCCTGTCATGGCAGAATAGAGTAGTTAATACAGGTAGTTTTACTCTGCTAAAAATACCAGGGATTACAGGTACTAATATAATAATCTAAAACAATGACATACCACACTGTTTTAATTTATTTTTCAGTTTTCAGCTTTAGTTTCTTGAAATTTAAAGCTGGAAGTATTTCAAGTCTTGTGTCAAAACCTGTGTTCTGAGCTGTCTGAACTTCAACAGCTGGCCATACAGCTTTCAGACAGTGAGTAGTTGATGAAGACTCTTGCTCAATGCCTAGTGAAGATAGTGGCAGCTTTTCCTCTTGCTTTCCTGGGTTTTCATTCAATCTAAAGTAGGGTGACTACATGGGACAATGTGAAATCTAGGATCCTGCCTGCTTTCCCCTGCCCCTGCCCTTCCCCCCAGGTGCTGCAGGGAGTCAATGGCCTATTAATGACCTAGTGTTCTTTACTTCACTGGTGTTAATCATCAGTGAAGTAGCAATTAATGTTAATAGGGCTTCTTGCTTCACAACTCCTGCCACTCTGCCCCCACTCTGCATCTGGGCCCAGGAGGCTCATTTTAGGTTTCACTAGCAGGTGGTGACCAACCTCTAATGCAGGGGTGGGCAATAATATCGAGCGGAGGACCACTTACTGAGTTTTGGCAAGCCATCGAGGGCTGCGTGGTAGGAAGCCAGGGGCAGATAAATATTAATTTTATACATTTTTAGGGGCCCCGCGGGCTGGATAGAATGGCCTGGCGGGCTGCATCCGGCCCACGGACCGCATTTTGCCCATCCCTGCTCCAGCATCTGGGACTGTCCCGACCAACCTGGGACATATGGTCACCCTAGTCTAAAGCAGTGTATTTGCCCAGTGCACAATGCTCTATTCCCAGCATATTTCATAGTGAGTTTATTGATGACATTGGGCCAAATCTCAGTTCTGTAAAAAACACAAACTTGCGTTAAATGCCACTGAAACAAGGTTTTCCTTATAACAAGTTGGTAGAGGATCTAAAATGATAGATATGAGCAGCTATGTGACTGTTCTTTCTCTAGTTTCAGGATTTACCATGAGGTTAGGGTTTGTTCTCTTTTTGGCTCGGTTTGTGATCTGGTATCCAGGATCTTAAAAAACATGAGGAAACTTTTGAACGCTAAAAAGCCATGATGCATTTTAAAAATGCATCATGATTCCTCTGTGAAATCCTATGAAATATGAACTTTCATTTCTACCCAGGAGCACTTTTACAATCTTTTCTCCAATGCCTGATGATGGGTATTTGTGCCTGAAAGCTTGCAATTAAAGATTTTTTTTTGCAAAAATCTTGTTTTCTAATAAAAGATATCATCTCTAATACAAGTCCTGATTGCCTTTTCCTCTAGACCAATACAGCTACAACCTGGATACATGATGCATTTTCTTATTTCTCTGTTTATTCAAAAGTTCAGTTTCTTAACTTCCTCTACCTGTTTTTCTCCATATAGAATACTCTTTTTGGTTATTCCTTTCCACTTCATCACACAGTGGAGACTTTTTAACAAAAAAAAATACTTGTGTCGCATTGTAAACCTCAAAGCACTTTAAAAACCTAAAGGATGGCACTTAATCTCTATTTTAAATATTAGGAAAAATTAAGCCTAAGGGGATTTAACTGAAAAGGGTCCCAAAGTAAAATCTGAGTTGAGAACAGAATTAATGGGTGTACTGACTTTGAGCTGTTTCCCAGCTTAATTGTGCCTGAGGACAGTATGTGCACTATTGTCTAGTTGTGTGTGGGGAGTGTATTCAGCCATGGTGTGTTTTTTCTCCAAGCTTGTTTTACCTAATGGACCTATGTAGTTTTCAAGCTGAGTCCAGCATAGATTAAATGGAAACATCTTACTAAATACGTAAGCAGGATGCTTGGAATTACAGTTTTTCTTTCATACCAAACTTTAACCCCACAAAAAAGCTCTGCAGGTGAGTAACAATGGGGTCTTTGTGCTCTGTGAAGGGAAGGTGATATTCCATAGGTAGTGGAAATGCCTGAAAACCAATGTGGTATGCAGGATGCCTGCAGTTTGGACACACTTCTGATACGTGGCTATTCCTCTGCTTCTTGGACCATTCTTTCCCATATTTGGATGTTATCAGGAAACCCACAGAGTCTACATGCAATTTGGATCCTTTTACTATGCTTCTGCATTTCATGCTGAAAGTATCTTTTGGATTTGTTTAAAATGTCATTTGCTATCTCAACCTATTTGATTACAACTGGATAATATATAAGAGCAAAGGCTTCAGGGTCATGCTTTGGGTTTAGAAAGCTGAGTTCATAGAAGGAAATGAAAAGCTTTTTGAAACTTTAAACAGTGTCTTGTTGAAGGAGCTGCCAGTGTCAGGTGTTGGTTGTAGCTTCCCCACTGGTAACTCCTGCTCCCTAATGCTTTTCCTTCCATTTTAACCAGGGACCATTTTTATTCTGCATAGTCTCTTACAAATGTAACTCTCTGAGACTTAAACTCTCTCTTCTCCTCTTAGGTTCTGATCCAAAGCCCATGTAAAGACTTCCATTTGACTATGGTGGGCTTTGGACCCAGCTGCTTGGCTGGTCAGAGAGGAGCGCTAAGGGAGAAACTCACCGGGGAGCTACTGGGGAGCAAAGAGAGAGTCCATGTACCATGCTCTATGTACTCATTCTGACCCATTTAAAGATGGCAGAAGCTGTTTTTGGTAGAAGCCTCCCCAATCCTGCACCAGAGGGATTTTTTTTTTTGCAGTATGAGGTTCCTAAGAATGAAGAAGAGGGTTATAAAACTGAAGCTCCCTGCTCTGTCCTCTAAGGTAGGCTTGGAGGGACACTTCCCCCTGCCAAAAAGAAATAAGCAGTTGACAATTTAGAATATCATTAAACCTGTTTCTAAGGGATGAGTAGAAATTGCTTGCCTAGGAGCGAAAAGTTGTTAACTAAAGGCAAGAGAAGATGGTACTGAGAAATGCACTGAGATTCTGCTAACCTGATTGAGAGAGAGACCTCTCAGGTGAGATCCTTAATGCAGGTTTTGCTGTACCCAAACCTTTTTCTCCTCTTGCAGAGTCAACATGGTATATTTCCCAACTTTTTCTGTAATTGCTTTTTCCCCAGAAATTCAGATGCACATATGCAACAGAGAACACTACGGTTTTCTCCCTGTGCCCCTGAGGTCACACCAGACACTGCAGGAGGACATTGAAAACTTTATTCATGTGACAATCGAGGCAATGAGTGAGTCAGAGCATGCCATGCCCTGGTTCTGGGTTCTTGGGGATGGTGTTTACAAAACTTTCCTTGAATTTTCTTTTTGAAAAAAGAAAAAAAATCTTCATCAGATCTAATTATTGTGGTATTTTTGTTAAATTAGGTTTAATGCTTTCCACCCCTTCCCCTGATTGTTCATCACAGCAACAGGAAAGCTCCACTACCAAAATCCTACCCTCTCTAAAATGCATCTTCCTATCCTGTCTTGGCACAAAATAAGCGCTCTAACATTATGCTTGGATGTTTTCTGTCACTTGGCTTTTTTGGCTCTGTCCCTCTCTTAGCACAGGTTAAATGCATAACAGTAACTGCTTCCACTCTGCCCTTCATGCCACAGTTCTTCATTGCACTAGGGGAGGTATTAAAAAGTGGTGAAATAAACTGACCGGGCAAACTGACTGGGCTGCTGTACTTTAGGCATATTAGTAAAAGATGCTGTGGACATTTCTTTCTTTTTTTCTGTTTTTAGTTGATCGTCCTCCAATTGAGCCCTCACAATACATCTCTGCTCCTCCAAAACACCCAGACAAGATGGGATTTGATGAGGTAGGAGTGCCTGTATGTACGTGCATTATCATCAAGCAGGGCATCTGGTAGAGCCCACTTCAGTTAAGCTGCAAATCTGCTTCTATTCACAGTGCTCATTTTCTTGTGCTTATAACTTTCCAAAACATTCACATTTTGGGCTGAAATTTCCCACAGGACTAATCCTGATGTCTTTACTCAGCTAAAAGTTCCACTGAGTGGAATGGCTGTTGGGCATGCTCAGGACTTCTTCAGAACTTATGTAAGCGCCCACACGTAGGTTTCGCTGCCTGATTTTTAAGCATGGAGCAACTGCGGTGGAAGTTTGCAGGAGCAGTGGGTGCTTATTATCTTTGCACTGCAGGTCTTTGTGCATCTACATTAAAAAACCCAATTTAGAAAATGTTAACTTGCATAAGTTAGGACCTGACCAAAAGTCCAGGGAAATGAGTGGAAATCTCTCCTTGCATTTCAGCAGTCCCTGAAACCAGGCAGTAATCTGACAGTGACAGAACTAACATTGGAATCCAGCTTTTTGACCTGCCAGTTCTTGCTGTACCTACTACATCTTGCTCTTTGGTAGTTTAAAATGAGCGCTTTTTTTGTCTGAAACTTTCTTCTGCCTTACCAGTAACAAACAAGGGAGCTATTTTCCTCCAGAAAGCAAAGCTTTAGAATGGGACAGTCAGCTTGGTTTATGGAAGGGATGTGTATCCTGACTGAATACGGTACCGTGCTGTTCCTGATTGCCTTTTCCTGTTCGGGAGCCACGTTTCTGCTGAGGCTTTCTTGTTTTGATTTTGGCAAGGACAGTTGGGGACATTTTTGCAACAGAGATCAAGAAGTTTGCATAAATCTCTCCAGCAGCTCCTGTCTCTGTCAGGAGTATAGCAGGTCAGCCAGAACTGGAGACAAAGCATCAACAGAAGGTGACTGGGAACAAATTAGAGAGAGACATTGTACTTTGCATGGATAATATTTATTCTTTGCATAGAGCATTTACAGATCCACACAGTGCCTGTTTGCTTAGCTGTAAGTGAGACTATAATATAATGACTGAGAGAGTCACTAAAATCAGGGGAACCTTGTTTTTTTGCCCTTTTTTGGCTTGGGTTTGTCTGTCTATTTATATAGTATCATAAAGTCCAGACAGCTTGGCTGTGCATGCTTTATCATCTCTGTTTGTAGTATGGCATGTGTCTTTTTCTGGGCTGTCTTTTGTGGCTACATTTGCTTGCCCAGTTTGTTTTTATTATTATTGCTGCATTTGGATGTGGCTCAGTCTGTTTTTTGCTTGGCTGAGGGTTAGACTGCACTTGTCTTTACTTGTGTGAGGCTAGAAATGTTTGCACTTTACCCACTAAGGTATGTGCCTGGCCTGCCATCCATCATGGGCCAGGGAACATATGTTTGCATAGTTTGGACTTGGTGCTACATAGAAATCTCATTCTTTTACCCAGTCTTTGTGTCTATGTTACAACTGTAGTTCTGACAAGACAGCAGATTTCCAATATCTGTAGTGATTAAGGCAGGGTGGGCAAAATACAGCCTGCAGGCCAGATCAAGCACTTTCAGCTGGTCCGCAAGGCCCACCAACAAATTGTGCCCTGCCGAGCTCTTCCGTCCACATGGGTGAAAGCAAGGTGCCCACGTGTACATGCAGCCCCAAAAATGTACCCTATTGCCTGGCTCCCACCCTCATGGGTGGAAGGGCCCAGCCCAGCCGGCATGCAGCTTCCATGCGGGGCTGCTACTGCAGCCCCTGGGGACCTGCTCTGCTTCCCCGGTCTCCTGCTTGCTCTGGGCAGCAGGTAGGGAAGCAGTGGGGGCAGGGCTGCAGGCTGGGCAGGAACATGGGGCTGGGGCTGGCAGCAGTGCAGAGACCATGCGGAGTGGGAATGGGTGGGGGCAGAGCTGGGGTGGGCAGTATGTGGGGACCCCTTCACGCTCCCTCCATGGGGTGCAGCCCTGGCAGGCAGTGGCAGCAGCAGCAGGTGGGGTGCTCAAGGTGCAGGTGCCTCGTGGGACACAGTTCTGGCCAGCACTGCACATCACAGCAAGGGGCGCAACCTCTGCTGGGCTGCCTGTATTGCCGGCACTCCCTGCCACTCATGTGCAGCCCCTGCACTCACACAGCAGGGAGGGAAGCCCCACGTGCTGGAGCCAGCTGCCTCTTCCGGGGTTGCACAGCACCAGAGAGAAGCCCCACGTGCTGGAGCTGGCTGCCTTCCCTGCAGGGACTGTGCTGCAAGGGAGGGAAGCCCCAGGTGCCTTCCCCTGGGGATGTGGAAGGCAGCTGGCTCCAGTGCGCAGGGCTTCTATGGTATGTGTGTGGAATCAACAGGATGTCAAGTGTGCATGCAGATTTTGGTCCAAAACCCACTAAAGTCAAAGGGAGTCCTTCCTTTGACTTTAGTGGGCTTTGACCTGAACCCACGCTGAATGGGAGTTCTGTGCACATGCATTTGTAATGACAGTGGAATATGGGCTACATCAAGAAAATTACATTGTATTACAAAGCCCAGTGCCCACATATAGCATGACGAATTAAAAAAATTAGAACTCACTCAAATGGCAATGAATTTTTTTGTGACCATGGACAGACATAGTAACATGGAAAAGAAAACGACAAATTCTTTTCTCTCTCAGGATCATAGGAACCCAAAGTCCTGCAGACTGTTGGTGAGGTTTAGGAACTCAAGTATGAAAGGGCCAAATTTAAAAAATATATATTTTGGCCTCCAAAGATGCAGATAGGCAGGCAGTGGGATTCCAGGTGCCCATCTGAATCTTTAGGGGCTGAAGTCACTTTTGGAAAAGCACTTAGGCAGTTTTCAAAATTTGACTCCATGCTCTACTCACATTTCACCTTTCTGTCCCACATAGGTAAGGTGCTAAAACTGATCAAAGAAAGTCAGAAGTCAGAGAATTTTTCTTTACTAGACTTTACTGGACTTTCTTTACTAGTTCTTCTTCCTACATCCTTTTATTCTTGAAAATCTACTTTTCCCTCTGACTCTTCATGAAAACAAGCTGCATCTAAGAACACATATTCAAAATTTCAGCTCCAGAGGTACAAGTTTGATAAAATTTATAAACAATTTGAAAATAACTCCCTTTACTGGAAATGTTCCTGGCACTTTAACAAGGTCTAAAATCTATTAAGCTTTTGGAGTAGTTATGATATGTGCTTCACATGGAGCCAGAGTTCTGATTTTTTTCTCTTCCCACCCAGATTTTCATGATCAACCTGAAGCGTCGAACAGACAGGCGGGATAGAATGCTGCGAACCCTCCATGAGCAGGAGATTGCAGTCAAAATCATGGAAGCTGTGGATGGAAAGTGAGTTCTGTCTGGTGTTGCATGTGCTACGGAAGGTCTGATTCTGTGTAGCAGGCCTTTTATATTTGATGCTCTGACTTTGTTAAGGAAGATGAGGCTTACTTAATTTTGCATGTACTGTGATGTCATTTTGCAAAAGTAGAAGGGTATTGTGCTGCTGCTGTACTACATCTGCCTCTTGTTTTAATCAGCATCCATTAGAGAATCTCTGAGGTAGTTCAAGCTGAGGAGTAATAGTCAGTTTAAGGCAAAGATCTGTGAATCAAATTTTGTTTTATGGCACTCAAGAAAGGAACCTCCTTTGGAGCATTTGGAGACATTTAAATATTCCCTTACAATATTCCAACCCCAAATTCTGGAGTATTGTGTTATGGTACCACTGTTCCAGTATGTATAGCTGCACATCTCAAAACAATATATAAAGCTCCTATTTTATAGATAAGAAACCACAGTATTGTGGTTAAAGCTGGGATTTTCAACTGGGTTTAAGAGAGTTGGGTCTTGAAATCCCATCCAAAAGTCCTTGGGACTTCATTGCCTAACTAGACCCTTCTGAAAATCCCAAGCCAAGTGACTGACTACCCCAAGCCCATGCAAGAAATCACTGGCAGAATTAGCTGCAACTTTTGGGTGTCTCAGTTTCTCTCTGCTTGCCTAGTGCTAGGGTAGTAGAACTATAAAGTGAAGCTTCCCATAAAAAAAAATAATTCTGACTGTTCCAATCCCATGGTCCAATCTAAGAGAAATGCAAAAAGTAAGAAAAATCCATGATTGTGTAAAGTGAATGAGCTATCCTATAGTTGTATCATTTGGATCCTCTGAAACATTACCAAAATTGGCAAGGACATATTCTGGATAACCCACTGTTAAGACTGTACCGTTTCTTGAATCTATTAGGTTAGGAGGCTATAGTAGCCTTACCTAAGTTTAGCTTGAGTTAGAAATTAAATCAGGATATTAAACTGTATGCAACCATGTGTGCAAAGTGCTCCTAAGGTCTGGAACACTTTGGTTTTTCACTGCCAAACCATTTTGCTGACTCTGGGCCTGAGTAAAAAAACAGTAGGACTCACAAATTTTTCCTAATACTTAAAGAAGCTCTCTCTTTCTCAGGGCATTGAATACGAGTCAGCTAAAAGCTCTGAATATTGACATGCTACCTGGTTACCGGGACCCTTACTCTTCCAGGCCATTAACCAGGGGTGAAATTGGCTGCTTTCTTAGTCATTACTATATCTGGAAGGAGGTAAATAATCTCTGTTCTCTCTGGGTGTTATAGGGTGCTGAGGGAGGGTAATAGTGCATGTTTTTCAGTACTCTCTTTTATTTTGCTATAAATAAACCACAATATTGAGTGGACTAAGATTTTTAAATATTAGCATTAATGGGACTCCTAAACTTATTGAGGCACATTCAGCACTTAGTAAAAAGGAGCTGAGTACCCCTCAGTTCCCATTCTGCTTTTGATATTCAAGCGGCTCCCAATCTGTGTGACTTTATCCAAACATTTTTTAAGGGCCATTTTTACTAACTCTTTAGCAGGTCAGTTTGGGGCAATTTTGATCCGGGCAAGGGGGGATTCAGAGGATTTTTTCCGTTCTTTTTTTTTTTTATCACAAAATTCCCCTGAGGAGATTGTGCAGAAAAACAATCAAGTATGGACAGTTTTGATATGAAGAGATTGATACTGGTGTTGATCAGATTTTTAAATCTTGTGTTCTGTAGACATCAAGAGATTACCTATGGTAGTGTGGCGGTAGCCATGATTTTATCATGGTTTTTTTCCATTATGAAGTAGTCTGTTTTGAATAAAAACTTGGGAAACTGACTAGTGTGGTCTCAATATTGGGCCATTTTTGTGTAATCAAAATGAAAAGCAGAAACTTCAAAAAATTTTCCATTCCTACTGAATGTTTCCCCCAGTTGTGCAGTGCCACACCCCTGCATGGTTGCCAAAGACCTAAAACACTGAACGTGCTACCCCAGATCATAAAGCACCAGCCTCTTTAGCCTAACTTAGGACACCCAGGTTGAATAGTCATAGGCTGCAGCATGTTCAGCAACTTCTGTTATGTGCCTCAGTCACCACTAAAGGGGAACAGAGCATTCTATGGAGTGGCTAAGTTACATGCTTCCTGTGGTCAGGGGAGTTTGAGTGCTATGTGTATAGTAATGAGCAGGGATCCTGGCTTTCCTTGTTAAAAATTGCAAATTCTTTGATAAAAACCCTAAATTCATGATTAAAATGAAAAGCCACTATAGATGTATTTTGTTCAACTGATATCTATTTATCTGTGTGCCAAGTCGCACCCACTGGGCTGCAGAGGCCAGGGGGAGGGCAGCAGGGTGGGGAGCCCAAGCCTGCAGTGAGCATCTGCGCCCGCCCCCGTCCTGTGCACAGATCTGGGAGGCACAGATCCCCCTACGCCCCCTGGGGAGTGCACGCAGCTGCAGGAAGAGGGCCTCATCCCCTGCTCAAGCCGCCTACATCCCCATCCTGCTTCCTGATGGGACCCTGTGGCTGTGCATTCTGGTCCCGGGCCCCAAGCCCCATGTACCACCCAGCTGGGCAGCAGCCCCAGCCCTGCCTAACTCCCTCCCTCCCTATGAGAGCTCTTTGCAAAACTGCAAAATCCACAGGTTTCTCCATCAAAATGAGAAAGTTACGTTTTTCTCAGGTAAAGGGGGGAAATCCGCGTTTTTCTCTGTTTTCCTATGGGGAACAGAAAACCCAGAACCCTGGAAACAAGGGGACTGGGCTATATCAGGGTAATATGGAACATAATCAGAACATTCAAATCTTCCTGGACAATCCATGCTGTGTTAAATGAACAAGCTGTGTTGGAAAGTAGGAGGTGGAGATGACTGGAGAAAGACAAATGTGATGGTGTGTTTTTGTTTCAGAACTAGGTCTGGAAACCCAAGTGAGGTTAAGGGCCTTCTTGTACCAGGTGCTATACAAGTATAAAATAACCAAAGTCCAAAGTGTGTGGCTGTAGTCAGCAGCATAACTAAGGCTAGGTAACTGTGGCACCAGCCTGGGTACCCCAGTAGAGTAGGACACAAGATGGACAGACATTGCTGCTGTCACTGGCCTGACTGCTACCACTCAGGGCACCGAATCTGGTTGTTATTCCTCTGTCTGTAGTGTGAACAGGGTGCAGTACATTTTTGTGGCAGACAGTAAAATGCAAAGTTTTAAACCAAACAGCCCAGAACCAGTGGAAGTGACTTGAAAAACGAGAAGTTGGGCTCGACTTTCTGCAAGATCTGCTTTAAATGCATTAGTGTTCAGCTAGCATCACTGGCTGTTTTTGTTCAATCTAGTTGTACCAAACAACCTACTAATAGTACTAGTGAGTAGGCCTGTGCAAAGCAACTAGTATTTGCTTCAGATTCAGCTGATTTGGGGGACAGTGATTCGATTCGGTCATTCGAATCAGTGTCCCGAATTGATTCGGCCGAATCTAATTTGGAGATCCAGATACTGATGAATCTCTGAATCAGCCAGGCCCATCCCTGCCCGCTCTCCAAGCCCAGCAATGGCTGCCCTGCCCACCCCAGCTCCCGGCACTTGGAAAAAAAAAAAACACTGCCTCACTGGGT